GTCCCCTAACATTTTCCTTTCTCTATTTTCCTTTGGGCATTCAACCTCGTTTCTTGCTTGGACCCTAGTGAGACCACACCCGGGCAGACAGCACATATCCGTGCCCAGCCTGCGGTGGGCTCAGAGAAGACCCCATAGAAAGCGCCAGGAAACAAGGCCCCCACAGACACGCCGGAGAGCCAGGACAGTGGGCAGGGCGCGCGCCTTCCACGTGACGACCTGGACCTGATCTCCAGCACCCCACATGACCCCCAAACCTCGCTGGGAGTGATGCCTGAGCACACTGCCAGGAGTAACCTGGGAACCCTAATGTGTGTGGCGCCCACAACAAACCAAACCCAAACCGGAACGACACTACAAAGTATAGAGGGTCCAGGGCTGCGTCACCTGCGTCACCTGCGTCACCTGGGACAGGCGAGGTCACTGGGACATGCTGGCAGCCAGGAAGCAGGTTGGGGTTAGAGCTCAGCTCAGACTGCCTTGTGCGTGGCCAACCAGGGTTCGATCCCCAGCATCCCATAGGGCCCCCCAAGCCCTGCAGGAGTGATCCCTGAGTGCAGAGCCAGGACTGAGCCCCGAGCAGTGCCAGGTGTGACCCCAAAACAAACCAACAAACAGGAACAGCCCTGCAGGAAGGGGCATAACTTGCGCTTGGCTTTCATTTCTAACACACCAAAGCCCGACTCGGTCCCCCTAACGCAGCTCATGCTCCAACCTGGGTCTTCACGACTGAAGCCTGGGCACCGGGAAACGGCTCCTGTGTTGATCAGCCTCCGTCTGCCCCACCCCATCCGCCTACCCCAGGCTCTGCTCCTCCCAGCATGACCCGGAAGCAGTTTGGCAAGTCCTCTGACTTGTGTTCTCTGGGGTCTCCTGAGGAGTAGGGTTCCTACCGGAGGGGACGGAGCAGAGGGACAGGAAAGGAGCCCCACAGGTCGAGGGGCTGATCATGGACCGCACAGACCAGGCCAAGGCAGAACCTCCAAACCCCCTAAAGCAGCAGAGTGTCCCCGAATAGTCAGAGAAACACGGAAGTTCCCCATGGAGCGATTCCCCAAGCTGCTCAGCTCAGGGGCTGAGGTGGGGGGTGGGGAGTCGAGCCCCCAGTCAGCCGCAGTGGTGGCTACAGGGGTGCATTCCCTGTGACCAGGAAGGGCTGCCAAACGGTGTTCGCTGAAACTGGACACTTGGCTGAACCAGACCAGGGCTCTGCTCACAACCAAACCAGCAGTGAATCGCGGGAGGCAGACAGTCCATGGGCCCTGGACTGTGGGGGTCCCTCGGGAGACTCTGTCCAGTGTCCACGCCCCCGGGGTGTGGGAGGCCCCGGTGAAATCGCATTTCCTGCCTGCCCAGTGGCACAGCTCCAGCTTGGCAGGAGGCCCCCAGCACCCCGAGCCTCACGACCCCAGGGCCCAAAGCCCCTGGGACAGGGACACCCAGTAAATAGCCAGTGGGTGGGACATGGGGGCTCGCCAGATCCGGTGTTCTAGATCCCTCGTAACACACGGATCAACCGCCAGCATCATCGGCCTCCCCTTTTTTCTGGTTTAAACTCAGACTCGAACGATTCCCATCCCTTATAAGGTCAACGCTGCAAAGAGAAAACCAAGAAGCTCTGGGAAAGAATGTTCCGGGAGCCAGCGCGAGGGCCTGGGAATGGTGTGCGCAGGGGGTGCCGGGAGCACAGCTGGCCTGGGGGGACGCCGCCAGGATATTCTTAGCTTCTGCCCTCCTTCTCTCTCCTTCCGGGGCGGTGTCTCAGACGGGGACACTAGTCACACCGGCGACCAGCCACCATGTGGCTTCCAACTCCCCCTCCTCCCTCCCACCCGCCCCGGAGGAGCAGACCCCACCGTCCTGGGCCTGGGGGGCAGAAAGATCCCTGTCGAAGGCAGGTGAGGTCAGGCCAGGCAGGTCTCACACCTGGAGATGCCTCTGGCCATCGGCCCCTACTGTGGTCATGTAGTGTCCTGTGACCTGACCACATCGAAGGCTGAGCCACCCCGTCTGGGGGAGCAGATGCCCTGGCATTCCTGCATGACACCGTGGTAGGGGACTGGCTGGCTGCTCACTGGGGTCCAGACTGTTGTCACCTTCCCCCAAGCAGCCCCCCCAGGCCCCGCCCCCCTACGTCGCCCTCCCCGCACCTCCCCCTCCAGACACCGGTCTCTGATCAGGGACGGGTGGCGTTGCCTTGGCTCTCTGTTGAGGAGGGAGGCAACTGTCCAAGGGGCTGGCGCACTGCAGAGCAGGACCACCGGGCTATTTGTCTGGGCTTATGAGGAAGCACTGGCTGGAGCGTAAGCCCACGACCACGAAAGGGGCTTCAAGCGATTCACAGCAAGGGTGGGAGCGATAGTTCAGCGCGGAGGGCATTTGCCTTGCACGCAGCTGACTCTGGTTCGATCCGCCGCATCCCATATGGTCCCTTGAGCACTGCCAGGAGTAATTCCTGAGCACAGAGCGCCCAGAGCCAGGAGTCACCCCTGAGCATCGCCAAGTGTGACCCAAAGAGCAAAAAATAAATTCAATTTTATTTTTTGGAGCAAGAGTAGAGCGGGGAGGGTGTTTGCCTTGCAGGCAGTCGACCTGGGTTCAATCCCCAGCATCCCATATGGTCTCCCGAGCAATGCCAGGAGTAATTCCTGATTGCAGAGCCAGGAGTCATCCCTGTGCATCACCGGGTGTGGCCCTCTCCAAAAAAATAAATAAAATTAAAAAATTAATTTTAACAAAATAAAAATTTGCCATGTGGATGCCTGGGAGTCACAGGGGTACCTACTGGGTAAATTTAAAAACTGTCAACTGGGGGTCTGGAGGTGGGGGTCATGGCAGAGGAAGCACAGTCTGTCTGCCTGTCCGTCTGTCTGGGGGGGTCTCCCCGAGTGATACTCAGGAGGTCCAAGGGCCTCAAGCGATTCTCAGTCAGCCTGGCCAGTGATTCAGTGCAAGGGTCCAGGAACGCGGTGCTGGGGATTCTCAGGACCCCCCCTTGGGGGTTCAGGGATCTCCAGGGCCACACCTGGCAGTGCTCAGGGTCCTGCAGAGAGATGCTGGGGGACTATGTGGTTCCAGGGACGGAACCGGGCTCAGGGGCATGGGAGGAACCATCCTCACTGCTGTGCATCTCCCAGCCCCAAACATCCTGTTTCCACCAATCAAAATCAAATGCTCATTTCTGGTGTGGATGGGGGCAAGGTCGCACCTCGAGATGGTGGAAACAGGATGTTTGGGGCTGGGAGATGCACAGGAACCCCTGAGCATCGCCGGGTATGACCCAAAAAGAAAAGGAAAAGAAAAAGAAATTGTGCTTAGAGACCCCCAAAGAGCATTGAGCAGCAGGGGTCAGACGAGGGACTGACCAGGCCACCTCCACGTGACCGCTGGAGACCAGGGGAAGCCCTGCTTCAGGACATGCTGCGTTGCACGTCGTCGGAAGTAACCTCCGTTGAATTCTTGGGTGGGAGAAAAGTTGGTTTGGGGACCATCCCTCCTCAGAATATATGACTGACTTAAGGGGGGTGTGCAGCACCCCTCAACCCTTCCCCCGCCTTAGCGTGCACCCCATCAGGACAGAGCCAGGCCAGTCTCTCCTGCAGAATTTCTGGCCACACGCCCCACAGCCACGTCCCTCTGTTTTCTTTCTAAAACGTTTCCCTCCCGGTGCCCACATGTAAAGAAACCCCCGCTGTCTCCACAAGCGGGTCCAACTTTGTATCCCAGGCGTCTGCTAAGCCAATTAAACACCGTGTGGGAGACACAGCAGCCCCGGCAGACCCCCGGCGACCAGAGGTGGCCGTCTGGCGCGGCCGGGTTTCCTGCCTCTGCGGTTTGATGAAATTTCGAGCTCTGATGGAGCCGTGTCACCACAGACCAGAGCTGCCAAACCTCATGGAAGACATACATGTGGGTTTTCCCAATTCCTGCTTCAGCCACTTAAATCCTGGACGCTCTTGCCAGTGACCAGGGAAATTCAGGAACTGAAAACTGAGTAAGAGCAGAATGCTTGCACAATTCCCCGGGCACTTTCCATGACTGGGAAGCGAACTGGAGGGCACAGCGAAGCCCAGAGCAATGTTTCACATCCCCTGATGATGAGACTCTACAAAGAAAAGTCTGGTCCGGTTCCTACAGGGACTGAGAACTCTGTCACCCAGGTGTCAGCCTGGGACGGGGTCGTCAGGGAACGCAGAGGTTAGGAGAGGTGAATACTGGCGAGTTTTAGAGCCAGGGAAGACAGCCCCTTTCTCTTCGGAGAATGCAGAATTCACGATCATCTGAAAGCAAGAGCTGTCCAGGGAAACACATTCAGACTTTCTTCCCCAATGTCCCCCATCACGTAACATCAATGAGAGCAGTGCCTTCGTGGGAAGGGAGCGCGTGAGCATGACAGCTGGTGGGTCTGAACACGGCACAGACAGAGGTTCCAAGAACACCCCGTTCTACTTGTTGCAAAGGACCCCGTGGGTAGAACACAACTCCTGGAAGCTGTGAGCCCCCGACCACCGCCAACCCTGGGAGTGAGTCAGTCTTGGGACCATAGAGATGAACTGATGCCAGTTTTCTGAATGAGTCAGAAGGGAGTACTGAACATGGAGTCCTGGATGGACAACACAGAAAACTTGGACCAGAGAAATCCTAGTCTAAAACTTCCGTGAAAACCTCACTCTTGTAATAGTGCAAGTGCAATCATCTTGTTGATTTTTCTAGAAGGGCTGAACTTAGTTATTGATTTCGGTTAGTGTGAATGCATCTAACAGAAGGGAAAAAAATTATTTTGGGAGGGGGTCACATTCAGCAGTGCTCTAGGCTTACTCCTGGCTCTGAGCTCAGGGATCATTCCTGGCAGACTAGGGGTACCTACGGGGTGCCAGGGATGGAACTTGGGTCAGTCACGTGCAGGCAAGTTCCTTCCACTGACTATCTCTTGGGCCAACAGAGGAAATTATTTTTCACTTTTTTTATTTTATAAAGAAGTTCACAATATTTGATTACATTTAATATTCAAACACCAATCCCATCACCATTACACCTCCCCACCACCATATTTCAGGTGTTTCCATCCCGAACCCCAATTCTTGCCCCAAAGCAGAACTGAAATAATATAATATTTCCCTCTAAGGTTGATTGCCTCCGACTTTGAATCCCATCAAATGTGGTGCTGTACTCTTGGAATATGGGTCGGGTGTGTCCCAAGAAGTATCACGCCGCAGTCCAGGGAACAGTTCGATCCTGGGTGAGGCTTAGTCTGAGCATGTGGAGCACAGCTGTGAGCAGGGCAGCGGTTGGGTTCTGGAGGTTTTCGGTTGCCAGGGCTGAGTCCCTTGGTGCAGGGAGGGGTCTCACCCGAACCCTAACAGAGAGAATTTTTAAGTTGAGCAAGTTCTCTCTCCTCTTTCCCTTTCTTCTATCACTCCAGAGAAATAGATCTTGCACACGGAAGAAAAGCTTTCAAAAAGCATCCCATTAAAAAAAAATAAGCATCGCATTATTTATGCCAGACGTGTTTCCCTAAAGCTCCATGACTTACACACGAGAACAATGAAACGTTTACCCAGAAGCCCGCTAGCTCTTGCCCTAAGTGTCCAGTTTCACCAGAAGAGACGACATCCGTCTACCACCAAGTGCTGGGGGATTCTTCCTGATTCTGAATTATTTATGTTAAAGTGTTTAACTACAGGGTGAGGACATGAGTTTTCTGTTCCCACCCACCCCATAACTAACCAGAAAAAAAAGTGGGGGACTCAGATCAGAGAGCCACACGGTGCCTGGTATTTTTTAAACCTACTGACCCCGGCCCCCTAAGTAATAAACTGTTCACTCCATTCTCGTCTGTGCTCCAGAGTACACATCAGGCCAGATGGAAATTCCACTGACTAAATTAAATCACACTAATTGGGCATCAAATTTCCCCTGAAAATGTTCCTTCCCAGCATCACAGATGAGGTATCGTGTGGGTGTCGGATGTGCGACTGAAGAGGAAACTCATTCTTTCTGCACAAATAAATCATTCACATCCAGTTTACTGCATTTTCTTATTGGCTCCTGGAAATGATCAAATGTAGGATGTGGGAAATTTAACTGCTCCGACATTCAAAAGGGCTATTCAGCGCTGGAAACAGGAGTAAGAAGCGAGATGGCTCAACCCTTCCTAGATAAGCTCCGTTCCTTTGCAAAAACAATTCTGGACAATCGAAGGCTGCGTCTGGGCTACAGACAAACCCAGATGTTGGACCCCTGTCAGCGTCCAAGACAGTCTGTCCTTCAAATAATACCAGTGGTCTTTATTTGTTTTTGTTTTGGGGTGGTGGCGGCTTTTTTTTAGCTTGTTGGGTCACACCCGGCGACGCACAGGGGTTACTTCTGACTCTGCTCTCAGGAATTACTCCTGGCAGTGCTCGGGAGACCATATGGGATGCCGGGGATCAAACCCGGGTTGGCAGCGTGCAAAGCAAACACCCTCCCTGCTGTGCTATCGCTCCAGCTCTAGCCTGGGACTTTCTAGGGTCACATCAATCCTCGTTCGTGGCATCACCGAGAGCCCAGGTATAAGTCACTTTACGGTAGGGTCAGAGTGATAGTACAGCAAGGTAGGGCACTTGCCTTGCACACAGCCGACCCTTGTTCAATCTCTAGCACCTCATCTAGAGCCCTGAGTCCCTCCAGGAGTGATTCCCTGAGCACAAAGCCAGGAATAAGCCCTGAGAGCCGCTGGATGTACAACCACCTCACATCACCCAAAGTCACCTTACAGCTAGGAAAGCCCCATACAGGTCTGTAAATTGCAAGGAACAGAACAGCTTTCAGCTATTACATGGTTTTCGTGATGATCTGAAGATGACTTGAACCTCCACATTTTGGGTTTATGCCCGATGGTGATTATGTACGCCTTCAAAGGCTCTGAAATTCTTCAGCCAACGTCATCATCAACAGTGACAAGTGCTATTAATCGCGGATGCCCTCATATGGTGCAATAAAGTGGGTCCTTCACTTCTCTGATTTTCTGCCCCCAAACCAAAAAGCATCATGAGGAAAACACTAGCTAAGGGAGGTCGGAGCGATAGTTACAGCAGGGAGGGCATTTGCCTTGCATGTGGCCACCCCACGTTCGATCCCCGGCATCCCATATGGTCCCCCGAAACCCCACCCAGGAGTAATTCCTGAGCATCGAGCCAGGAGTCAGCTCTTAGCACCACTGGGTGTGGCCAAAAACCAAAAACAGAAAAGAAAAATATGAGGCACAGGAGAGGGACGTCCAGCAGAATGCTCCAACCACGCCTCCTTCGAACTGGGACAAACATCCAACAGAACGGAAATCAGGGCAGGTGCTGGTGGTGCCGGGGCCTGGGCGAGTCCTGGGACACGAGGAGCCAGGCAGGCACTCGGGAGCCCGTAAAAGTGGACCGAGTGGGTAATGATGCGTCGGGACTGGCTTAGTAATGCAGCCAATGTACCAAAGTCAAGATGGTCTGAGTCATAGGGAGCGTGGGGTGGGGACGGCACCCTGCACCACTTCTCAAAGTTTCCCCAAGAGAAAACTGTGTCCTTAAAAACAATCTTTACAACTCAGTCCTAGCATCATGTCTGCAACTTACTCATAAATAGTTCCAGGGCCCGAGCGATAGGACAGCGGGGAGGTCATTTGCCAGGCACACAGCTGACCTGGGTTGGATCCCCATCCTCAGAGGGTCCCTGAGCACCGCAAGGTGTGATGCATGAACGCAGAACTGGGGGTAAGCCCTGAGCACCACTGTGTGTAACCCCTGAACCAAAATAAGAATAATAAATAGCTCCAGGGGGCTGGAGCAATGTGCAGTGGGGACGTTATTTGCCGTGCACACAGCCAGCCTGGTTCGATCCCCGGCATCCCGTAAGGAGCACAGCCAGGAGTAATTCCTAAGCACAGAGCCAGGAGTAAACTCTGAGCACTGTGGCCCCCAAACAAAACAACAACAACCAAAATCGTTTCAATAAAAAGTCTATAGGTAGACCAAGACGGAGGAGTTGGGGCTGACCCTTGTCCCACAGAGGGGGCCAGGCTCGGCTGTGGCTCTGCACGGCTCCCCCAGCACCATGGTGAGACATCAGCGAGAACTGCCCGTGTGTGTACCCCAAAACAAAACAAGAAAAACCGGTGAATGAAATATGATTGGAATATTTGGTAAAGGCTGTTTGAAAATTCTTTCTCCTTGAAAATTCTATTTCTCCTTGAATTTTTCTGTTAGGTTAAAATTATATGAAAATAAATACATATTAAGGCCAAAAAAATACCAGAAACATAAAAGAAGAGCCATATGCTTAAAGGCAGAGATATTTACAACCTCCGTGGAAGGCAATAAAATAATTCCTTAATACAGAGATAGACGAGGAGCCAGAGAGATCGTGGTGGTAGGGCACTTGCATGAGCCAGCCCAAGTTCTGAGTTCGATGCCTGACACCCCATATGGTCCCCTGAGCATTACCAGGAGTGAACCCCGAGCACAGAGCCAGCAGCAAGCCCTGAGCACTGCCAGGAGTGCAGAAAGAAAGAAGGAAAGGAAGAAAGAAGGAAAGGAAGGAAGGAAGGAAGGAAGGAAAGAAGGAAGGAAGGAAGAAGAGAAGAAAGAAAGGAATAGTGGAAGGAAGGCAGAAAGAATGAGGAAGGAAGAAAGGAAGGAAGAAAGAAAGAGAGGAAGAAAGGAGAGACTAATGAACAAATAAGGCACAAAGGCAGGACATGTGTTAATATGCATACACACACACACACACACACACACAAGGTTCAGCAGCAATATCAATGTGCGAAATATACATTTTGTTACAACTGTGGTAACATTTGCCTAATAAATTGGCCATCAAAACAGAAACATCCACAGGCTGAAGCAAATGCATGCAAAGGTCCCAAGTTTGATCCCTGGCCCCGAACGGCCCCCTAAGCATCGCCGGGCCAGCCCTGGGGGCCCCCAGCACCATCAGGTCCGAGCACAGTGAACCAGAAGCCCAGTTGACCGTGCATCACTGGGAGTGGTCCCAAGAATCCCGGAGGCCTGCCTGGGAGGCCCCGAAACAAGTCAAGCCATTGACCCTCAGAAGGAACTCAACTCAGACAAGCATCTGAAAGAAACTCCCCCAAGCTCCACATCTGGAACATGCCACGGAGTGAGGCCACTCTGCCCGGTGTCCCCCGCATCTGGCTGCAAGTCCGGTGGGAGGAAAAGTCTGCCCTGCAGCTCGGTCCCTTTGATCTGGCATTTCCTTGACTCAGTAGAATCTGTTCGGAGGAAATAAGCAAAGAGATGGAAAATTACATCGCAGGCAGCCCATCAGCGCACACTATTTATAATAACATTATGTGAGGAGCTGGGGCCCCGGCCGGCCCGCCGTGAGTCATGCCGGAGCTGGGTGATGGATGGAACTCACCCTGGAAAAACATCCCATCATGAGAGGACATGCTGGCCACGGGAAAGGCTGGCAGTGTGTGGCAGGCAATCGAGAGACCCGCAAGGACTGGTGCCCCCAGCTGAGCTGTGACATGCGCCCCCCCACCCCCACCCCCTGGCCACACTGTGCTGTGGATGAGCCTAGCGCTATCCCCTTTGAATGGGGCCATGGGGGGGGGGCGGGGGGGAGCGATAATAGCACAGTGGGGAGGGCGTTTGCCTTGCAGGCAGCCGACCCAGGTTCGATCCTTAGCATCCCATAGGGTCTCCTAAGCCCCACCAGGAGTAAATCCTGAGTGCAGAGCAAGAAATTACCCCTGAGCATCACCGGGTGTGACCCCAAAACAAAACAAAATTAACGGTGACATCAGCTTGACCACAAAACTCTGCGTTTTCCAGATTCCAGAAAGCCAAGCCTTGGTTGGTCTTTCTGTGGCTCCGTCTTTCCATCCTGGGCTGGGGTGGTCTGAGAGGGCAACGGGGAAGGCGGAATTGGGGGCGAGGGTGCTGGGTGCCTGCTAGTGAGCTCAGAGCCCCGCAACGGTCAGTGCCGGTGGTCCAGATAACTTGCCCCCAAGGCAGAAGGGAGGAGGGGACATGCATGCACTCCTGGGTCGCCAATGGAGGGCGCACCCCGCTGATGCCTGGGTTCAAGCTGAAGGCCGAAGATGGAGTTCACTGACCCACGGCTGTCTCCTGGGAGAGCCCAGGAACGAGACTTCCCAGGACCAGCACAGGCCCCAGAGAGAGAGAGAGGTGGGAACGAAAGGATGCACTGGACACCCGAAAGCCAAAGCCTGGGACAAAGTGATGGACAACAGGGAGGGAGGGCATTTGCCTTGTGCGCAGCCGACCTGGGTTCCATCCCCAGCATCCCATAGGGTCCCCTGAGCACCGCCAGGAGTAACTCCTGAGTGCAAAGCCAGGAGGAACCCCTGAGCATCGCTGGGTGTACCCCAAAAAGAAAAAACGAAAGAAAGAAAGAAAGAAAGAAAGAAAGAAAGAAAGAAAGAAAGAAAGAAAGGTAGGAAGGAGGCAGGGAGGGAGGGTAGAAGAAAAGGAAGGAAGGGAGAGAAGGAAGGAGGTAGAAAGAGAGAGAAAGAGAGAGAGAAAGAAAGAAAGAAAGAAAGAAAGAAAGAAAGAAAGAAAGAAAGAAAGAGAGGCAGGGAGGGAGGGTGGAAGAAAAGGAAGAAAGGAGAGAAGGAAGGAAGGGAGGGAGGGAGGGAGAAAGAAAGAAAAAAGAAAGAGAAAGAAAGAAAGAAAGAAAAAGAGAGAGAAAGAGAAAGAAAGAGAGAAAGAGAAAGAAAGAGAGAAAGAGAAAGAAAGAGAAAGCCAAAGACTACGATGCTGCCTGAGAGTAGATGAGAAGTGGGACAGGCACCACTGAGCTGGGTGTCACTGGCTCTGCTAAGACCAGCCCGAGTGCCCCTGTGGGTGTGAGGGACACTCGCCACCTGGACACCCTCCCCGGAGTGGTCCCCCGAACTAGCAAGCAGAGAGCTCGAGCCCTCCTCCTAAGGGCCTGGACACCTCAAGACGCAGGAGCAGTCAGAGCCAGCGGGAGAGAGAACCACGCCGCTGGCCCCGCTCTGAGCCTCTTCAGGCCTTTGGAAAATAAAGTTTGACTGTGTCTGCCTTCAGAGATCACAAGTTCGGAGAGAACGCAGCCGCCGGGCAGTGCGGACGTCCGTTCTGGCCTGCATGCATGGGATTCGGTAGACGCTGCCAGGGGCCTGAAGAGAATGGACTGTCCAAGGAAGAGGAAGGAAAAGACTTCTCCTGAGAATTCCTTACCACACCTCAGGTGTCTGCATGCGTGAAAGACCGTGTCCTTATAATGTGCCAGAGAAAAGAATCTCAGGAAGGAAATCACAAGGAAAACAACTTACAGGGGCCAAAGAGATATACAGTGGGGTAGGGAGCTGGCCTTGCACGCGGCCCACCTGGGTTTGTCCCCGCCATCCCATATGATTCCCTGAGCCCACCAGGAGCAATCCATGTGTGCAGAGCCAGGAGTAACCCCTGAGCACGGCTAGATGTGGCCCCCAAAACAAACGAAAACATGAACAATCCTCTACTCGAGGATTTTTTTTTTTTAAAGTAGGTAATGGGATATTCTTGATAACCTTTCAGTATCAAAATTGCAAACCACAGGGGCTGGAACGGTAGCACAGCAGGTAGGGCGTTTGCCTTGCATGTGGCCGACCCGGGTTCGATTCCCAGCATCCCATATGGTCCCTTGAGCACCGCCAGGAGTAATTCCTGAGTGCAGAGCCAGGAGTAACTCCTGTGCATCGCCGGGTATGACCCAAAAAGCAAAAAAAAAAAAAAAAAAAATGCAAACCACAATGCTCAAAAGGGGGTGGGGGGGGGGGGGGAGAGAGAGAGAGAGAGAGAGAGAGAGAGAGAGAGAGAGAGGCAGGCAGGGGGTGGGGGGGTGATGGGAGGGAACCTGGGGACACTGGTGCTGGGCTCCACTGTCACACTGTGGGGTCCTCCCAAGTTCCACGGGTGCAGGAGCCACAACCAGGCATACTTGGCCCTGGCACACTGGTGGAGGGACGGGTGTTTGAATACTGTATGACTAAAACCTAATCACGAACACTTTTGTAACGGTCTGTCTTACAGTGATTCAATAAAAAAGTAAAAAAAAAAAAGAAAGAGAAATGCAGATAGAATTATGGCAACTGATCAGCTGCCCTGCAGAGAGGCCCAGAAGGTTCTCCCAAAACTCAGCAACTCTTCCCCCCACCCCCACCCCCATCCCCCAGACTTCAGCCGCGTGGCTTCCCAAGCAACAACTGCAGAGAAAAGGAAGTGCGTATAGCTGACAAATCATTTATGCCTGGCATTAAGTGAAATGACTTTCAGGACAAATTAAGTCGAGTAGAACCATGAACGGTACAGAACAGCGGGCACTTGTGAGGAATGAGAAAGGAATGATGTCTAGTGACGTGAACAAGGCCAAGACGAGTGGCCGGTTGTGTTCTGAAGGCGCTCTCACACGCAGGCTCTCAGTCACTGCCCGGTAGTGCCATTGCCACCGTCCCCAGCTCCCATGGGGCAGAGTTAAGCCTGAGGCTGGTGAGTTTCGGGGCCGGGGTGCCCAGCCACATAGGCCGTCATGACCCCACTGTTATTCTTCATTCATTCGGGATGTAATAAAGTTTGGGTCCCGGGGTGAGCCAAGGAGCTAAATCACCCCACATTCATTTTACAAACCGAACCCACAGAGGTCAGCACTGACAAGTTTTCAAGTGGACACCAAAGGTGCTTAATGGACAGCCAGTGCGTGGCCAGGCCAACCGGGCCTAGCTGGGCAGGGGCCTTCCCAAGGGCTGAGGCAGATCTGAGGGTCTCATAATGAAGTCTTCCCATTAATATTTTTAATTAATTGATTGACTTGGCAAGGGACTAGAGCACACCCTACTGGCCAGCGACTCAGAAACGCAGCCAGGACGCGGGAGGAGGGAATGGAGGTTTCCAGAGAGGCCGCACCCGGCTCCCACACCGACCTGCACCTTAGACAACAGGAAAGTCACTTTCTGCAAAACAGCACATTGCGACGTGCTGCAGAACGAGCACATCTGAAGTGACAGTGTCCAGAGGCCACTGTGAACGTCTCCACAGATCCAGAAACGGAAACAGCCAGGTGTGGCCAATGCCCACAGAGGAAACTTTTGGTAAGAGAATCGGCCACAAGACAGAGCAACCCCTGCAAAGAGCTTCTCCGGGGGCTGGAGCAATAGCACAGTGGGGAGGGCATTTGCCTTGCACACCACTGGCCCAGGTTCAATCCCCAGCATACTATGTGGTCCCCTAGTGCAGAGCCAGGCAGGAGTCACCCCTGAGCATCTCTGGGTGTGACCCAAAAAGCAAAAAAAGGAGAAGGAGAAGGAGAAAAAGGAGAAGGAGAAGGAGAAGGAGAAGGAGAAGGAGGAGAAGGAGGAGAAGGAGGAGGAGAAGAAGAAAGGAGAAGGAGAAGGAGAAGGAGGAGAAGGAGAAGGAAGAAGAAGAAGAAGAAGAAGAAGAAGAAGAAGAAGAAGAAGAAGAAGAAGAAGAAGAAGAAGAAGAAGAAGAAGAAGAAGAGGAGAGAGGAGGAGGAGGGAGGAGGAGGAGGAGGAGGAGGAGGGAGGAGGAGGAGGAGGAGGAGGAGGAGGAGGAGGAGGAGCTTCAGTGCTAAGCTCTAAATCTTACCCTTTACCTTACCCAGGGCTGGAGCCATAGCACAGTGGGTAGGGCGTTTGCCTTGCATGCGGCCAATCCAGCCGACCGGAGTTCGATTCCTCCGCCCCTCTTGGAGAGCTCAGCAAGCTACAGAGAATATCTCGCCCCCTCAGCAAAGCCTGGCAAGCTCCCCGTGACGTATTCGATATGCCAAACACAGTAACAAGTCTCACAATGGAGATGTTACTGGGCCCGCTCGAGCAAATGATGAGCAATGGGAGGACAGTGTGACAGTGCTACCTTACCCAGCTCAGGAGAAGAAGGCGGCAGACTCCTACTGCAGATCCTATCTGGGGGTCCAGGTGCTTATCAGCATTTGAAAGAGATTCCCCACCTTGAGCAGGTGCTTCAAGCTATGCCTCCCAAACTCACAGAGACAAAATCAATCCATTGCCATATACTGGTTTACGGAACACGCATCTATCAATCAGCTTTTTCTTTTTAATTAAAATTTTTAAAAAATTTTAATTTATTTGGTTTGGGGGCCACACCCAATGCTCAGGGGTTATTCCTGTCTGCACTCAAGAACTACTCCTGGCAGGGCTCAGAGGACCATGTGGGGTACCAGGGACAGAACCTGGGTGAGCCACATGCAAGGCAAATGTCCTCCCCACTGTCCTGTCACTCCCTCCCCAGGTTTGGTTATTTTTTTAAGGACACAGTTACATTTCTACCATGGTTAGATGAAAGTCAAGACTCCAGGGCTTCAGGGCAATGCAGAAAAGCATCTCACTTTAATATAACTCTCTGTAAACCCCCAAATCTCTCGAACCAAGCATAAACACCAACTTTGGTGCACTTTTGTAGGGTCTTAGAGAGCTAGAGGGCCATTAGCTGTCCAATGCACGTGACACGAAGTGGGCCTGCAAGAGAGCAAGCATCAGAGCGAGCGTCCCATCCACCCCTCCAACAGCTGCGTCGGCAATTCTGAAGGTTCCGAACCAGCATCTCTCCCCATGCTCAGGACATTGACACTGCCTCCTCCGGAAATGACAGTCGGGGGGCCGAGGCCTGCTGCAGCTCAGCAGGATGGAGGTTCTGAGGGTCGTGGAGGGAAAACAGTCCCAAGTCCTGGGGAGGGCCAGAGACATAATACAGCGGGTAAGGCGCTTGCCTCACATGCTTAATTTGATACCCCCAGACTCATACAGTCCTCTGGGCACTGATTGGCACAATTCCTGAGCACAGGAGCAGGAGGAAACCCAGAACACTGCTGGGAGTGGCCCCCCAAACAGAAAAGGAATGAAAAAGAAATAATTAAGGTTTTAGGGAGCAACCTCAGAATAAAATGAACTGCCCAGAAACATAAAACAAATATTACCTTTGCCATTCCTTTCTTCCAGAGAACCATCTAAATGGGTCACAGAGAGGAGATAGCAGGAAGAGTGCTAGCCTGCACGCAGTCGACCTCATTTTGAGGTAAAACAAACAAACAAGTTAGGTCCGAGGACTGTTCTGCCGAAAACTTGATGCTCTAATCTGACAACTGTCTATGAATGACCCCTTGATAAACACAGTTTGCTGATAGTATCTCAAGAACAATTTCCTTTTAAACTGGTCCCAGACCAGCGACAAGAATATTGACCTGTGTCTTTACTAAATATCCTTCGCAAGAAGGATGTGGGTGGAAATCTCTGGTAATTTGGCCACCCTCCCTTCCCCCGCCCCTCCAAAGCTAGAGCCTTGGGAAAGAACTGTGAGCCAAAACCCAGAGGACGGTAACTCAACTGGGTTTCACCCCCCCACCCCAAAAATGCAGAAACCGAGATGTTCATTGTGCAAGTTTAAAACAGATCAGAGGAAAACGGGGATTCATCATGCATTACTCACGTCTTTTGGTGGTGATTTTTGATCATTTACCCAAACGGGAGCATCCCACAGTTCCCCAGAGCACCCAAGTATCCCATGAATCTTCTCTCCAGAGAAAGGGTGTGTTTGATGGTTGCCCTGGTGATTATCACTGTTGAACGAGCCGGGAATGTAAAAGCAGACCAATGGGGCCAAAGCACAGATGACAAGTGACAGAGTGATGGAGGGGGCTGCACGCTCACCCCTACCCCACCGGGTCTGACCAGGCATGCACCATCCTGCTCACAGTCCAGAGGTCCAGACCCCACTGCAAAGCCGCAAACATGCAAGAGACGAGCATGAGGGAAGCCTGGGTCAACTTCCTGTGCGTCAAAAAGCCTAGTTGACTCGTAAGAAGAAAACCCATGTTGAGTTGCGATGAATTTACCATCAGAAAGGGTCTCAATCAACCAGTAAAAGGATGACGGCAGAACAGAGCCTGTCTGTTCAAGAGCACCGGCCTGAAAAGACCCCAGAGCTCCCACTGGCAGGAGCAACTGCAAAGTCCCGCAAAGCCCACTCCACCGAACACATATCTTGCCACTGAAAGGGGCAACGGAATATTTCGGGGGTGTGCGTGAGCCCACCCAGGCACCCTGGCTTAAGGCCTTGGATTCGGAATCCGGCCTTTGAATTAAATTTGAAGGAATGTAGGCAAATAACAGGTAAGGAAAGGCAATGCCTTCTCTGAGTGCCCAGTTAATAGTTAACCTGATAATGAGGTCAGAACCTCATTCCCTATGTTAAACCACCCCAATTAGGCCGGGCTGGCTGTCTAAGGCTGGGCTGGAGGGCCCAGCTATGGGGGTGTGGGGAGGCCGTGAGAGGTCGCGGCCTCTCCTGGGCACCAAGGACCACTCAGGGCATTTGTTCTCTCTAAACTGGAGGGTTTCTGTCTGTTTGCTTTTTTTCTTACTTTAGTTACTCTTGGTTTGTTATCATTTGTAATATTTATTTTTCGGTTAAACTATAAGCCCAAATTGCATCATCTCTGCTCCAAGAAATCTCCTCCCCCGCCTTGGAGCTGGCTGTTCTGTCGGGGGCATCCGTGGGGGGTCAGGATGCCCGGCGATGCTGAGGTGGGCATGGGTCCGAGGTCCCCCCCCACACACCCACCGAATGGGGACACTCCTGGAAGCCTGTGGCTGGGTCAGCTGGCCACGGCGCCTTGGCCTAGATTCTCCAACAAGAGAGAAGTCGTGGTCAGGCCGGCCAGACCCTGCGTTCCCAGAGAGGCCCCCAGATGTGGCCTGACCCCCACGCGGCCCGGTCTGTCCCCCACTGCCCTCCCCTGCCCCTCGGCCGGCCGCAGCAGGCGGTGGACTTCGTGCAGAGCTGGTCAGCCGGCGGCCCCACCCCCGCCTGGGGACCAGGGGCCACCAACAAAGCGAAGGGGCATTCCGTACCCCACAGGGGCACCGGGCACCGGGGGAGGGAAGGGAAGGCCAGCGGCCCGCGCCTGGCCAGACACAAAGGCCACCACCATCACCACCGCCCCCGCCCCCCCGCCGCGGGGCCGCGCGCCGCTGCACACACGCGCGCGCGCGCGCCCCCGGGCCGCGCCGTGGCCCCTTTAAGGGGCGCCCGCTCGCGATTGGCCGCGCCGAGGGGGCGGGGCGCGGCGGCGACGTCACGGCCCCGCCCCCCAGCCTATAAAGGGCGCGCGCGGCGGCCGCGGCGGCGCGGCGCGGGGCGAGCGGAGAGCGCGCGGCGCGGAGAGGCCGGAGCGCGACGCGCCTGCGCGACCCGGGGGCCCCGAGCCCGCGGCGCGAGCGGCCGCCACGGACATGCGCGGGACGGAGCCGGGGGGGCGGCCGCGGCTCGGCGCGGTAAGAGGGGCGCGGGGCAGGGGGCGGGGGGCAGGAGGGAGGGAGCGAGGCTGGCGCCGCCCGGCCCGACCCGGCGCGGGGCCCGGCGCGGGGGGGAGGGGGCGCGGGGGTCCGCGGCGCGGGGCCGGGCGGGGGGCGGCGCGGGGCCGGGCGGGGGGCTCCGGGGCTCCAGGCCCGCGACGCTGCCGGCCGGAGCTGCGCCGCGCGGGCTTCGTCACGGCTTGAAAGAAACCAGTCTCTTACCTGCTTCCAAAAAAAAAAAAAGAATATGAATAGATTGTTAGTCATAAACTTAAGTGCAGTGCGGATGCCCGGCTGCAGCTTTAAAGGAGACGCGCCGGGGACTGTAGGGACACCTGCAGCACAGGTAGGGCAGGACTGGTTTCCAGGCAGCTGTCAGGGGTGAAGGGAGGGAGGCCCCAGCGCGCCGCATCCCTCCTCCTCCTCCTCCTCCTCCTCCTCCTCCTCCTCCTCCTCCTCCTCCTTCTACTCCTCCTCCTCTTCCTCCTCCTCCTCCCCCTCCTCCTCCTCCCCCTCCTCCTCCTCCTACTCCCCCTCTCCCTGGGGCAGAGCAAGTAAGTATCCTGCAGATCTGTGGGGTTTTTAGCGATCTGGAAGGAAGGTCGTGATGGGCAGTTGGGATCAGTGACACATCCACGCCCCGCCCTTCCCCCCATTGGGTCTGAGGTTCTCACTGCTTTTGCCTTTTGCTTTTTTCTCAATCCACCCCCCCCCCCACCCACCCACCCACCCACGACCCTCCCCCGGCCCTTATTTCTCTTTGCATTTTGGTAACTAAACTTCCTTTCAAGAGATGTTTGACTTAGACCCAACAACAGCTTTAGGTTGTTGGGTCCCAGATGCTAAAGGCACCCCCCCCCAAATAAAGTTGATTTATGCTCATTTAGACCCTCTCATGCTGGGCTCTTGGGCCGACAGCAGGGAGTTGGCGTGGGAAAAGTTGCCCTCGGTTTTAGCCAGGATTTCTGACATGTCCTCGGGGTGGCCCGGCTTCTCAGGCAGGTTTGTTTTCAGGCGATTTGAGCCCCCACGGGTGAGTGTAGCTACACAGATATGTGAGTTAGACAGGGAGCGCCTTCGTGCCGAGCACCCAGCCTCATCTGCAGTGACGCTCGGAGTCGGTGTCATAATTGCACGGAAGCACATTTTGCATTTTAAAGCCCCGCAGGATTGCCCTGTCACTGATAAGGGCCAGAAAGGAAATCTGGCTTTTTATGGCTGTTATGAAATGTCAGAATTATTTGTATTTTTGACAGGTGAGATTGCTGTTTCAGCAAATCACCTACTTTCGGTTCACTGTAGGATACTGGTTACATTCCCCAGGAGACTTAACTATTCTGTAGACTTGGGGTTTTGTGTGTGCGCGCGCGTGTGCATGAAAATAACTCTTGGCCACAGCCCCTCCAAAATTGAACCAGATCATTCTTTCTGCAAATACTAATGGCAGCTTTGCAGAGCAAGTTGTCTAAATTACAGGTCCGACCTAGCATGCTTGGAGCTGACCTGAAAGTCCGCATACCTTCAGGTAGCCTGAGAAAGAGGGCCGGGGCAGGGGAGGGAGACGATTGTCACGGCGGATGCCAGGAATCTGAATGTCAGAGGCCTCCCGACCAGAGAATGAGCAGAGAATGAGCTCCGCTCACCGTCTGCAGTCAGTGCCTCGCCGGAATCCCTCTAGCATCCTGCTTTATTAAACAGCTAATGAATAACTCTCTAGATAAACAAAATCCAGCGGTGGCATTGCTTGCCCAAAATAAACACTTGCTCTGTAGAAGTCGCTGAGGCTGTGCTTCGAGGTGCGTGCTCTGTGTGCAGAGCCTTCTAAGGGAGGGGAAGTGTGCGCTTCGGGTTTCAGAGGGAGGGAAAGATTCTGAGATTGGGAGGCATTGTTGGTTGCCTGAGTCCAGTTTCTTCTTCCATAACATGGCTAGAGAGCTAGTCTTACAGGCCTCCTGAGCGCGACTCTAAAATACAGCGCTCCAGGGCCAGGAGAGAGTCCAGCTCTGAGGGCGCTGACCTTGCACGCAGCTGACCTGGGCTTGATCCCTGCACCCCATAGGGTCCCCCGAGTGCAGAGCCAGGAGTCACCCCTGAGCATCGCCGGTTGTGGTGGAATAATAATAATAATAATAAGATCTGGAGTTCTGGCTTCCTGAGTTAGTGCTTTGAGCTCCAGGGCGCCGGGATGCAGCCCAACCTTGGTGTGGAACAGGAAAAAGCGACAAGGAAGGCAGGAAGACCCTGTCCAGGGGCTCTCACCAGAGGCCAGGAATGTGAGAGACTGGAGCGGGCGATGACCTCCAGTGACCACGGCCCCCTGCGGCCGCCCTCTCCTGGGGGGCCTTGTTGCAGGCCGGTCGAGCGGCCCTCAGGTTCCCGGAGCTTCTGTCCACACCCTGGGGGTCAGTCGGGTGGTCTCACTGAGATCAGGGAGCTGACTGAGATGGGGGTGGGTGACCGCTCCTTCCTGGGTCGCCTTCCTGCCCCGCTTCTCCCCCACACCCTCGCCTTCTGAGCTCTGGAAGTTAGAGGCCACAGCTGCCGGGGGTCCTTCCCTCTGGGCCTGCAGGCCAGCTGCTCCATGGGCCTGGCGTTGGATGTGCCTCAGTGGTCTCCGTGTCCTCCGCAGGGCCGGCCAGGGCAGGCAGGGCTTGTGATGGGAGGAGAAAGGTCCTGAGGAAGTTCTGGGCTTTACCAGAGACTCCTGTCCCAGTGCCCGCGCGCGGGGTCCGTTGGACCCTCTTATTTGCAGGGCTGGGTCAGGCGCCATGCTGACCTGGGGGAGACTTGCTGGAGGGGCGGGCTCAGGAAGGCAGCAGGGGGCTTCCTCCTGGCTAGAGCAGGGCTGAGGGTGCGGACAGTGCCCAGCTGCCCCCCACCTGGCAGGCACGCAGCCCCCATGGTGGGGAGCTGAGCAGCCACGCCGTCTCTGGGCCTCCAAGGGCCACCCAGGGTCAGCACCTTGGCTGCTCCGGCCACACGGCCCCGCTGGCTCTGGGGCATAAGGACTGTGGTCCTCTCCTGCCAGTCAGCTAGAGGAGAACAAGCCAGGCTTGGGGGAAGATGTCCGTCATCTCTCAGGTCTGAGGGTAGCTGGTTTCCTGGGTGCCACCTCCAGCGGGTCCCCTTAGGACCTCCACAGACTCCCCAGCCAGCTCTGCCTTTCCCGACAGGGCCCCTGGAGCACATTGATGCCGGAGACCCCCATTTAGGAACCAAGAATGAAACGGGGGCCCGCCAGGCCGGGGGAGCAGCGGCCCACGGCGGGAATTCTAACTGGCCCTTCCTTTCCCGAGTTGTCTCGTAAAAAGGCATTTCAGAAAACCTGCAGTGAGGGGCTTTAGTCCCGGAGAGCCTTAAGCCTTCAGGAATAAACTCAAGGCCACATATGGCTGTAGCACATCTGCAGGTTTGCCCGAATCACTGAAGTTCCAAGGCCAGCAGGTTTTCCAGGGTGCCAAATCTAACCTCCTGGAGGGCATGTCCCCCCAGCACACACACACACACACCTGAGAGCGTGGACACCCATCATCTCGCAGGCCCACGCATGAACCTTCTGACTCAGCTGGCCAAGTGTCTGGGGTGACCCCCAGGTCCCCTAACCCGACTGGCGCTTTGGACACAGCAAGCAGAGAAATGCCAGAGCCTGGTTCCACTCTCCTCGGCCCAAGGAGTGCTTCCAGAATTCAGCATGAAGGACAGACCTGTGCATATTGGCTTAGGTGAAGAGGAAAAATGAGCTTTCGGACAATTTTGGGCTGAATTTTTGGGCCAACCAATGTGCTCACCTTTCATCTCTCTCCCCAAGTATGGAAATAGTTATGTAGGTAATTGTTCATTGCAGCTGAAAAGAGAAAAGACCATTTATCACCCTGAATAAACAAATCAGGTTCTCAAACCAGATTGAAAGAAGGAAATTACATCACACTTTTCAATAAGGAAGCATGAGCTGTGTGATAAAAATGTGCCCCTCCTCCAGGGGTGAGGAAGGAGGAGATGGGCAGAGATGAGGCCGGGAGGGACTGGCCATGGCTTAAGGTGTAACCTGCACTGCCCTTAAGGTAGCTGAGCTGTGGGGCTGTGATTTCAGCTCTGAAAAGCAGCACCGGGTGGTTTGGGGTCCTTTTTTTTTTTTTAATATAAGGAAAGTAACAAAGGTAGAGCAACAAAACCACAGTAGGTCCATTGTCGCCTGGAAGGAATAGTAGGTAAGAGAAACCCTTTGTTTTGAGAGAACATTCTTCCAAGTGCTGTAGATAAATAGAAGGTACTTCCTTAACCCTTGAAGTTTATGTGTCCCTGGTCTGCAATCTGCTTTGGATCTTGGAAATGCGTTTACTGACCAGTCCTTGCCTGCTGTGTCCACTGCCCTCCGCTCCGTCCGGGGCAGTCCCACGGGGAGTCTAGCATGGCTCTCCCAAGCCCTCGGCTCTCTCCCAGGCCCAAGCTCCACGGGCCTCAGTTCCCCAGGGGCTGATAGGCTTTATTCTCAATGTCCACTTAGTGAAAGTGTGTTAGAAACGAGCGCTGTGAGGGTCTGCAGGGGGAGAGCCAATCCACCAAGAACACTGGCCAGGCCCCAGGGATACAGAGACAGACGAGGCCCAGCTCTCAGAGAGCCTGGGGGAGAGGCGGGAGGAGAAAGAACCGTGGAAAGATGGACAGGCCTCCTTTGGGGGCTTCCGGGGGTCACCTGCGCCCTTCAGTTTGGCGCTGTGGCTCTGGTGTGTGGGAACTCAGGTGACAGCGATGGACACTGGTTCTGGCTGTCACAGACCGCATGCATGTGTGTGTGGGGGTGCAGTGATAGTGGGGTTCAGTTTGGATTTGGAGACCCCAGTGGCCCGTGGACCTTCCATGTGGACAGTAGCGCCCAGAGGGATGGGGGAGTGTGGGGCACTGGTCAGTGTGGGGGCTGATCAGAGACAGTCTCAAGGGGCAAAAGGTTTCGTTTTATTTTCTGAAAGAAAAAAACACCAAGTGATTTTAATGAGAAAAGTAGGTCGTCTTTGGGAGTGGGTTATTTTTGTTTTGTTTCTGTTTGGGGGCCACACTGGCGGTGCTCAGGGCTCACTCCTGGTGGTACTCAGGGGACATGGGATGCCAGGGACGGAACCGGGCAGCCTCGTGCAAGGCAAGCGCTCTCCCCGCTGTCCTGTTGCTCTCTGGGATGCTCTAACAGCATTTGACACTCAAAAGGCTTCCAATGACTTGGTGAATTTTAGGTCACCCAGCTCCTGGGCTGCTGAGTTTAACATTGGCTCCCAAGCCTTTGTCCCTCTGATGCTCTCTGCCCCCGCCACTGATCTTGCCGGGAAAGTGGGCTGTGTGCACGCTGCTCTCTTCCGCTGTGAAGGCTCAGGGGGGCGAGTTTTATAATCACAAGGAACAAAATCCAGAGCAGTCCCATTGCACTGGGGGAGCGTGTTTGCTTTTAACCTGTTCTTGGCCAGAGAGATGGGTCCTGTTCCTTCCCCTCCCCTGGTGCTCCAGGGGGCTGAGGTGGACAGGGCACGCGTGTGGCCAGAGCTGGCCCCCCAGACCTGCAGGCTGCAGGTTGCCCCTGGGGTCCTTTCCCAGGAAACGTGCAGTTCGCTGGCCCTGGCTTCTCAGCGGCAGGGCAGTAGGAAGTTGGGACAGTTTCATAACCGCCATTCACAATTCCCCATTGAAACGAGAGGCGGTCACCTGCCATGAATACACAAAGGCACCATTGTGGGCAGGAGCGAGCGGCTCGCTGAACACAATTCTTTTTCTGCTGAAAAGGACAGTTTTTTTTGTTTGTTTTTTGTTTTTTTTCCCCCTCGAAGAAAGCCAACAAGTAGGTGCAGGACACAATGAGCAAAAAATAACTTTTTCTAGAACAGGATCAAGAATGCGAAGTGACCGCTGAAATGCACGTTTAGCAATCCCGGGCGATTCCAGCCCGGGGAGTGAGCGCGCGCTCCTGCCCGGCCGGCCGGGATGGCCTTGCACAATCGGCTGCGGAAGGCCCGGCGGGGCGGCTGGCACCGGCGTTACCGGGCGCTGGTTGGCCCGCACGCAGGTGGGGGCGGGGCCTGCAGGGCGCCCAATTACCGGGCGCTGGTTGGCCCGCACGCAGGTGGGGGCGGAGCCTGCAGGCCGCCCCAATTACAGGCGCTGGTTGGCCCGCACGCAGGTGGGGGCGGGGCCTGCAGGCCGCCCGCCCGCGCAGCATTTTCCTGTAATCTCTGCAGTGATCTTCAAACGTGCGCGTTCAAACTACTTAAATACCATATTCTCCTACCTCTCCGGCCTTTCATTTTTCTCTTGCCACACAGACTTTCCCTCCCGTCCCGCCGGGGCGGGGGTGTCCGGAAAGGCCCAGGCGCGGACAGGCCCGGTGACCTCCTCCCATGGGCCCGCCTGTTTGACATATTTGCACCTGGAGGAGGCCCTGGGTGTGATCCAGCCCCACAGAAAAATAAAAACGTTTTCACACCTGCCCCTGGTAAATTTGGGGGGACCTTTTTTTTTTTTTATTTGTTTTGGGTCACACCTGTCGATGCTGAGGGCTTAATACCTGGCTCTGTGCCCAGGGGTCACTCTCCTGGCAGTGCTCGGGGAGCAGATGAGGTGCTAGGGATGGAACCCAGGTCGCCCACATGCAAGGCCAGCGCCTTCCCCGCTGTGCTGTCACTCAGATCCTGGACCTGCCTGCTCCGTCGCTGGCATCTGAAACCCCAGAACTGGCCCCTAGTTCCCTGGCTGGGAAGGAAAGATCAGTGCAGACAGGACTTTTGTGTTTGGTTTCTACTTTTTTTTTTTTTTTTTTTAACATATCGTGATCTCTACATTCAGAAACCCTCTGCCTTCCACCCGGAATGCTCTGGGGAGTCATTCAGCAAACATTCACTTCCTGGGCACCTGCCGACATCCCCGGTCGTGGCACCTAGTGATTGGGAAAGAGCCCGTCTCCTGAGCTCACGGGCCAGTGGGAGGTGACACGCCGGTCCATAAAACAAAAATAACACCTGTGCCGCCCCCCACACACACACGTGCATAGCTCCCAGGGGCCACAGCAGAACGGAGGCCGCAAGAGCAAGTGCGGGGGGGGGGGGGGGGGGGGGGGCCACTGGCGCCGAGAGGCCTCAGGACTACACAGCGACTGACTCGGCTGCTGTCTCCCGGCCTTGTAGGTACCAGGCACTTCCGGAAGGAGAATTCGAGGAATTGTCCTTGGGTTTGTCTCTGGAAGGAGGGGCGACACGCTCCTCAGCCTCCCCCAAGCCGGTGACCTGGCGGGATTCCATTTTCACAGGAAAATGGAAATTGGCAACTTCAGGTTCTCCTTGTTCCAGCGCCTTCCGAACCCCCAGGGCCCAGGTCAAGGGGGACCTGCCCGTGGGCATGCGGGCGAGGTGTCACAGGAGCCCGGCCAGCCCCGGGTGTTGGCTGCCAGAAATCAGTGTCCTGTCCTTCCTGAACCTTCCTGAAGGCGCTGCCTTTGCTGGCCGCCCCCGCCCCCGCCCCCGGAAGGGGAGAATAGAGCACGTGTCTCCGGGCGCTGGGCTGGTGACTCCTGCTATGCCAGTTCATTCCCACAGTGCTGGGAGATCTCCGTTCTCACATGCATGTTCTCAGAAAGCTGATTTTTAGGGCCTGCATTTAAGGAGCCTCATCAGAAGTATGAGTTGATCCTCATAGAAATGTCAGAATTGGGGCCAGATCCGTAGCACAGCGGGGAGGGTGTCAGCCTTGCACATGGTCAACCCAGGTTTGATCCCGGCATCCCATCGGTCCTCTGAGCACTGCCAGGAGTAATTCCTGAGTGCAGAGTCAGGAGTCACCCCTGAGGCATCGCCGAATGTCACCCCAAAAGCCAAAAAAGAGTCCGAACTTTGTTTTGCTTTGGAGAGCCACACCCAGTGGTGTTCAGGGATTACTCCTACTGGCTCTGTACTCGGGAGTTACTCCTGGCAGGGCTCAGGGGCCCTTCCAGGATGCCAGGGATGGAACGCAGGTCAGCCACATGCAAGGCAAACGCCCTCCCCACTCACCTGTGCTCCGGCCTGATAGGTCAGAATTGACATCTGTGCCGGTGTTTTTTTTCTGGTGCTCCCCGACCCCCCATTCTTGACTCTTCTGCTTCTGCCTGACGCCAGCATTTCCCCTCATTCCTTCTCCTCCTCCTCCCCCGCAGGCAATGAGAGCGCCCGGCCACTAGACAGCCGGTCCCCACGGCACAGCGGCTCCGGAACAAGGCACAATGTCAGTGGCGGGCATCACTGCTCAGGAGATCGGGGTGCCGCTGAAATCTGGGTTTCTGCACAACGGCCAGGCCCTGGGGACACTGGGGAGCTGCTGGGGACCTCGCAGCAACTTGGACAGGTCAGGCCTGGGCCCACCCCGCGCTGTGGGGAGTGGGGCGGGGGTCCACGTGCCCTGCCGCCTCCGCCAACACCCCTCCCTTCTGCTTCCCTCCTGCAGTTTCCTGGGTCTCGACCCCATAACCATGGCCTGCAGGCTGAACTCGGCAGCCCCGGAGCACCTGCCCAGTCTTGGTGAGCATCAGCGGGTGGGGGGGATGGGAGGAGGTCAGCGGTGCAGAGCTCAGGGGCTGCGGCCAGGCCGGGCGCGTGGTCGTCAGGCAGTCACCCGCGGCTGCACACGTCACAGCCCTGCCCAGGTGTGTGGGTGTGGGCCGCGCGCAGCCGGCCGGGAGATGGGAGAGATAATTCGTTCTTTGAACCATGTGCGTGCCCAATCTGCCCGTCTCTAATTACAGCCGTGCCGGTTGCCTGGGTGTTCTCGGGGCTGCCGGGGCGAGGGTGGCACCGGGGGCCTGGGGTGACGGCGGCGTCTCTCCCTTGCAGGGCGCGCTCCCAAGGCGGCGCGGCTGAAGGGCAGCCTGCCCCCCCTCACCATCCCCCCGAGCGAGGACCCGGGCCCCTGGGAGGAGGAGCGGCTGGCGGGGGGCTTGAAAAGACTGTCGCTGAGCGGGGCCTGCGCCCCCACCCCGCCGCTGACGCCTAGCCGGGCCTCACCCGCCCCGTTCCTGGGCACGACCCTGGGAGAGCGCGGCTCCCGGCCGCTGCCCCCGCTGCCCATCTCCGAGGACCTGTCTGGGGACGAGGCGGACAGCGAGGTGCAGTTCCTCACCAGCTCGGACACGGCCTTGCTGCTGGGCCACTGCGCACTGCCCGACTTCCAGGCTGACCTGCCGGGCCGCCGCAGCTTCCGGGGCTGCGGGCAGATCAACTACGCCTACCTGGACACGCCCGCGGCGTCCGCCACCGACCTGGACCAGGCACCCGAGGCCGAGGCCGAGGAGGCCAGCCCAGTGCCGCTGCAGGCCCGCCGCCGGCTGCGGCGCTCGCACTCAGGCCCCGCCGGCTCCTTCAGCAAACCCTCGGCCGGCCGCGCCCACGCGCACCGCGCCTCCCCCAACTCCGACGACGACAAGCCCGAGGTGCCGCCCCGGGTCCCCATCCCGCCCCGGCCCGCCAAGCCCGATTACCGGCGGTGGTCGGCCGAGGTCACGTCCACCACCTACAGCGACGAGGACAAGCCCCCCAAAGTGCCGCCGCGGGAACCCCTGTCCCGGAGCAACTCCCGCACGCCGAGCCCCAAAAGCCTTCCGTCTTACCTCAACGGGGTCATGCCCCCCACGCAGAGCTTCGCCCCGGACCCCAAGTACGTGAGCAGCAAGGCCCTGCAGCGGCAGCACAGCGAGGGCGCGGCGGGCGCGGCGCCCTGCATCCTGCCCATCATGGAGAACGGCAGGAAGGTGAGCTCCACGCACTACTACCTGCTGCCCGAGCGGCCGCCCTACCTGTGCCGCTACCAGCACTTCCTGTGCGAGGCCCAGGAGCCCGGCGCCCGCCTGCCCGCGCCCCCCGCCGAGCGGCCGGACCCCAAGGCCAGGCTGGAGCTGGGAAGCCCCGGCAAGCGCAAGCACGGCGCCTACGTGGTGTCACCGTAGACCGACCACCGCCCCCGGCTGCCCACAGGCTCGCCGAGGGTCCGGCCCGCCGGGCAGGGGCGAGGCGCGCCAGGACGCCGAGGACCCAACTGTCTGTCTGTCTGTCCGCCCGGGCCCTGGGTCTCAGCCCGCTGCAGGGCCCCCGCATGGCCTAGAGAGCCGTGTGGTCGCCCCCCAACCCCGTCCTAGAGGGATTGATCCCCGGAGCGCGGGAGGGGCCGAGACTGCTGGCGTCCGTGTTTCTGCTTGGTGGCGGTGGCGGCCCACCCGTCCTCAGCCCCCCGAGACTAGACCTGGCCCCCTCCCCCGGCAGAGCGCAGCCAGCCCATGGCGGATTCGTTTGAAGCCATCATCATGGGACAGTTTTGTGATTGCAGGTTCAAATACGGGATGCGTGTTGTGCTTGGTTTTTATTTTTTATTTCTAGACTGTATCAGAAAAACGTCCGACACAAGCTGGCCTTGTGTTGCCGGTTCCTCTTCAGTATTTCCTGGGGGATCGTTTGCTTTGAGAGTAAACCCCGTGGGCGCAGTGGCGGGCTGCCCTCCCGCCAGAGGCCGCGCGGCGCCCCCACCCCCCCCCTGCAGCTGCCACGCGCCCTCCCCCCACCCCCTGCTTCCACGGCCCAGTCTTGTCTAGCGAAGCCCACGAGGTGCTGACTAACGGGGCACATTACTACGATGTTCTCTTAACAGTTAAAAGAGCTGTTTACAGTTTCAACTGCTGAGTGATAGTATTCGAGCTATTGAAAAGCTTCTATTTTAGTATGAACTAAATGAAGGTTAAAACTTGCTTTAGAGAAATGCACTGATTTCTGCATTATATGTACAGTATTGGACAGAGGACTTTGTTCATTTTTGTTGCATTATTTGGAATATTGTCTTTTCATTTTAATAAAGTTATAATACTTATTTATGACACCGTTAACAACGTTTCTTGCCTAAACTCATAAAAAGCTCGATCTTCTCCTGTCGCCCGGTGCAGTTGGAAGTTCCGTCGTTCCCTTTGATTTCAAGGCTCTGGACAGGGTGCAGTGACCTGTTTTTTGACCTGTTTTATTGAGGTTCTCCCCACCCGCGCTCCCGCCCAGACACTTCTGCAGTGAGAAATAGTCCCATTGGGTTGTGGGCCGGGGAGACGGTTCAGGGGTGAAGGCTCCAGCCTGGCTCGGAGCTGACCCGGGGTTCCATCCCCGGCACTCAGCAGCACCCTCATGCCCGAGCACAGAAATGATCCCACTGCAAACCACAGGAGGTCGCATCTCGTGACTGCTCAGACCCGGCCTGGCTCCCCAGCCTCGCTGGCCCTGGCCACTGCAGAGACACTGGCCTGTACACTGCATGGCACAGAAGGGACCGGGAGCATGCTGCCCGGAAACACTCTCGGCGCCAGCCCCGATCCCCCGCCACAGGCACCGTCCTTGTGGCCAAGACGGTCCGACGGGAAGGGCTGGTGGCAGTGGTCTGGGAGCCGGACGTGTGCTGGGGGTCCTGGCACTCTGGGTGTCCCACCCGGGGAGTCTGGTTCACTGGACGTGCCGACAGACACACGACGGCCCCAGACACACGCCAGCCCTCGTGGCAAAGGCTGCCAGGCCTGGTGCCCGCCACAGACAGTGGAGGAGGATGGACGGCAGTGAGCTGAGCGCTGCTAGGGGCTGCGGGCAGAGGCCACGGGATGTGGGAGACCCAGGAAAGGAAATGTTGCAAGGGGCAGGAGTCGGAGCCTGCAGTGGGCGGGCTGCTAGGTGCGGCAGGGGAATTCTGGGTAGATGCTGACAAGGCGGGAAGGAGGTGCCAGCAGGTGGCAGAGCCCCACGTGGCATCCTGGGCACCCCGGGCCTCCTTCCCAGCCCTCTGCGTCTTTCCTCAAAATCGGCAGAGGAAGTCCCGCCTCTGGGCTTTATCATGTGGTGTGTCACGGGACAGACACGGCCAGGACACGATGATCATCCAAATGGCCACGGGGTGATAACTATGGAGCCTTTTGCCAGGCTTTTGTTTTGCTTTGTTTTTTTTTTTTTTGCTTTTTGGGTCCCACCCAGCGATGCTCAGGGGTTCCTCCTGGCTTGGCACTCAGAAATCACTCCTGGTGGTGCTCAGGGGGGATGCTGGGAATTGAACCCAGGTCGGCGACGTGCAAGGCAAAGGCCCTCCCCACTGTGCTATCGCTTCAGCCCCCTCCTAATGGCCTTTGGCAGGGAAAAGTGCTTCCGCCCCTGCTCAGGACAGCTGCTGTTTCTTCTCAACTCCTCACTCCCTTCCCTCCGCCTTCCCACTTTCCCTGGTCTGGAGAATCCGGTCTGCACACACAACTCGGTGATCTGGGCACCTGCGTCGGCAGCCACTGCACCCCAAACCGCTGGGCCCTGGAGCACTGCCCTGGAGGTGTCTGGAGGATGGAGAGGCAGGACAGGCCCAAGGGCTGGACCTGCGGGAGGCTCCGTCCTATAGGGCCGCGAGAGTCCTGCCTGGCTCTGCTTGAAAGCCGAAAGCCAAAGGCTCCATCGGGGACCCACTCATGACACAGAGGACGCCAACATCCGGGCGGGAGCGAGCTCGGCGCGCTCGAACCCAGCCCCATAGGCATGAGCGCAGCCCCGGCCGGCCTGGCTGGCCCAATAGCCGCATGGCTCCCGCCCTAGAAGCCTGTGCCGTGGATGCTGAGCCCTGGGTCTGCTCACTGCCCATTTCTCCCTAGGGATCAGGGAAAGGCCCTGTAAAAGAGGTTTCCTCACTGGAAGGTGGGGAGGAAGGAAAGGAAGGCAAAGAAGAGAAGAAAAGGAAGGGAGGGTGGGAGGGACAAAGGGGAGGGGGAAGGAAGTAGGGGGAGGGAAGCAGGAGGGAGGGGAGGGGAGGGAGGGAGAGGGAAGCAGGGGGGAGGGGAAGGGAGGGAGGGGGAGGGAAGCGGGGGGGAGGGAAACAGGGGGGAGGGGAGGGGGGAGGGGGAGGAAAGCGGTGGAGGGAAGGGGAGAGAGGGAAGCAGGGGGGAGGGGAAGGGAGGGAGGGGGAGGGAAGCAGGGAGGAGGGGAGGGGAGGGGGGAGGAGGAGGGAAGCGGTGGAGGGAAGGGGAAAGAGGGAAGCAGGGGGGAGGGGAAGGGAGGGAGGGGGAGGGAAGCAGGGAGGAGGGGAGGGGAGGGGGGAGGAGGAGGGAAGCGGTGGAGGGAAGGGGAAAGAGGGAAGCAGGGGGAAGGGGAAGGGAGAGGGAGGGAAGCAGGGGGAAGGGAGGGAGGAAGAGGGAAGCAGGGTGGAGGGGAAGGGGAGGAAGGGGAAGGGAAGCAGGGGTGAGGGGAGGGGAGGGAGGGGGAGGGAAGCGGTGGAGGGGAGGGGAGAGAGGGAAGCAGGGTGGTGGGGAAGGGAGGGAGGGGGAGGGAAGCAGGGTGGAGAAGAAAGGGCAGGGAAGCAGAGGGGAGGGAGGGGGAAGCAGGGTGGAAGGAAGGGGGAGGGAGGGAGGGGGAGGGAAGCAGGGTGGAGGGGAAGGGGAGGGAGGGGTGGTAGGGAGGGGGAGGGGGAGGGAGGGGGAGAAAAGCAGGGGGAGGGGAGGGAGGGGGAGGAAAGCAGGGGGAGGTGAGGGGGGAAGCAGGGGGAGGGGCGGGAGGTGGAGGGAAGCAGGGGGGAGGGGAGAGGGGGAGGAGGGAGGGTGCCTCAGCCTTATGTACCTGCCTTGTAGGCATGAGGCCCCGGGTTCCATCCCCACACTGCAAATACAATGAAAGGAGGAATAAGCAGGCACAGGGGCCATGTGCACAATTTCTGGGGTCAGGGTTCAAGGGGCAGGGTGTGAGCAGGTACCAGCAGGGAAAAGCATTCTCCTCCCAGACCCCAAATAAACTAGCACATGTCAAAGACGGCCAGTGGCCCACAATGCTGTGGCGAGGGGGCGGGACACGGGCCCCTTCCGCTCAGCAAACGGGCGTCAGGGGCTCCTGCCAAGGCGAGAATGAACATCAGCAAAGGAACAGACGCCCAGGGGTGGTCCGTGTGGTGCAGTCTGCCGTGTCATCGCTGGTGTACAGTTTCAGGGTAGCGGAGCTTCTTCCTCAAGTTTCCAGTGCCATTGTTTTACACAGCGCTGTCCTGCATCGGTGGGGGGACTTGGTCAGCCGGAAACGCTAACCATGCTAGTGTCTCAGTGAGACCTGGGCAGTAACAGGACCGTAAGCCACAGGACCAAGAATTTATTTTTAGGGGGCTGGAGCGATAGCACAGCGGGTAGGGCATTTGCCTTGCATGCAGCCGACCCGGGTTCGATTCCCAGCATCCCATAGGGTCCCCCAAGCACCGCCAGGAGTGATTTCTGAGTGCTTGAGCCAGGAGTAGTAGCCCTGTGCATCGCCAGGTGTGACCAAAAAAGAAAAAAGAATTTATTTTTAAAGATGAGCCTGTCATAAACACAGGTGGTCTGGTAAAGACAATTTCAAGGGCCTGGAGCACCAGTACAGTGGGTAAGGCATTTGTCTTGCATGTGGCCGACCCAGACTTAATCCCTGACACCCATATGACCCCCTGAACCCTACTAGGGTGCAGAGCCTGAGTGCAGAGCCACGAGTAAGCCCTGAGCACCGCTGGGTATGACCTCCAGCCCCCAAAAGAGCCTTTAAAATGTTAAATAGAGACTCACAAGAAATGTGACCAACGGTCCAGATATTCCTGTACCCATTACCCAAATTCTACCCAAGTCCCATGTTCCTTAGAGTCTAGGATCTGATCCAGGGAACTGGTGCTACCCGAGTCACCAGGCTGTATTCATGGGGCAAGAGTGACAATCTGGATGCCCTTGCGAGGGCTTAGGGCCATGACCACGGCCTTCATTAAAATTTCAATTCAGAAATTAATTTTGGCACCGTCGGGCCTGCTGGGAAGCTCCACAAGCTTGTTGCCATGTAAATATTTACCCATCATGCTAATGGGGTTGGTGGAGCCGCCCCTGCCGGGCCAGCCTGGCCGGGCTCCCTGTCAGCGGAGGCCCCCGCTCACCACCGTCAACCCGAGGGTCCGTGAGCGCATCTCCCCCTCTAACCCGGGGGCTGGAGCGACAGTCAACAGTAGGGCACCTGCCTTGCACATGCCTGACCAGGGTTCAATCCCCAGCATTCCCTAGGGTCCCCCAAGCACCACCAGGAACTAATTCCTGAGCAGTCAGGAGCATCACCGGGTGTGGACCAAATACAAAGACCAACAGAGGGCTTTTGCCTTGCATGCGGCCAACCCGGGTTCGATTCCCAGCATCCCATATAGTCCCCCGAGCACTGCCAGGAGTAATTCCTGAGTGCATGAACCAGGAGTTACCCCTGTGCATGGCCAGGTGTGACCCAAAAGGCAGAAAAAAAAAAAGAGAGACCAACAGAGAACTGAAGTTCTCAAGGGACCCCCCACCCATGAGAAAATCAGTTTGCAGGCAAAAGTATAGCGGGGAGGGTGTTTGTCTTGCACGCGGCTGACCCGGGTTCAATCCCTGGCATCCTGTATGGTCCCCCAAACCGCACCAGGAAAGAGTGACCCCCGAGTACTGCTGGTGTGGAAATCAAAATACTAAAATACCAAAATCAAAATACTAGTAGTATCAGTTTGCAGGCCTGGGAGATGCCCTAGGGCTTTGACTCGAGGAGCCCCGGGTCATACATGGTGCCCCCCACCACCACCCCTGCCGGGAGCCCCCCGCCCCCGCCCCAGCCTGCACTGAGTCAGGGCTGACCCCTGAGCACTGCCAGGGCTGACCCCGACGCTAAACAGGAAACGAGTCTAGATCCAACCGCAGAGATGACCCAGACCCAATGCCCGGGTCCCGTCCCCCTCCCCAGGTCGGCGTGGGTGGGTCAGCACACGGACACTTGCCCGGGTTTCCCTGGGGAGGAGGAAGGGGACAGCAAGGCCAAGGATGAAAGGGTCGGTGCATCCACGCCAGCTGCCCAGAACCAA